AAGTAGAGAGAAGGAATGGAAGTTTGTTTGTTTTTTTTTTATATTTTTTTTTTGTTTTTATTTTTTTTTAAAATAAATATATATAGATATATAAGATAAAGAATTGTTGGCGGTGGAAAAAGGTGATGATGGTTGTGGGTGGAGAATATATTAGAATGAAAAAGTGTATATAATAATAAGAAGAAAAGTGAAGTGGGTTGCCCGAGGAGGTTCAAGTCAGGTCTCTAATAATAAAAATGAAGTGGGGGGCCTTGTGAGGATTTGTGGTTTAATAAATAAACCATGGTGGGTTTGCTTTGAGTAATAGATTATAATAAACATATACATATATATAATATAAGAAAAGAAAGTGGAGTGGGGTTGGTGGGTGAAAAAGGAAAAGCCATCGTGGTGGTGAGAGTGCCAGATGGGGGTGATCTGCCCCATTTGATCAAAGCCGAGTCTCTTTCTTCTCTATCTCTACAATGGCGAAAGAACCAGTTCGCGTCCGCGTCACTGGTGCTGCAGGGCAAAGTGGGTATGCTCTTGTTCCCATGATTGCCAGAGGAGTGATGTTGGGTCCGGACCAGCCGGTGATTCGTCACACGCTGGAAGAGCCATGGAGGTTGGTTGAACTTGCAGAGAGAGAGAGAGAGAGAGGGGAGTGAAGGCTAGAGAGAGAGAGAGAGAAAGAACCCGTGCATGGCTGTATGCATGTGTCTGGGTGTGTTATGTATAGGAATCTTTCCTGGCTAGGGCAGTAGGCGCGACCAGTATGGTGATGGTGAATCCACGTGTGGCCAGTTGGGTGGTAAGGTCCAGGAGGGGCATCATGTGCTCTGGCGCAGGATAAGGGAACACGAGGACGTGTGCTTTGCTGGTAAAGGTGTGGGTTATACAAACTTTGAGGGTACCCATAATCTGGTGAGGAAGCTGCGTACCCATAAGGTGGATACAAGACAGGAGGAGGAGGTGGTGGAGGTAATGGTGCCGGTGGCGGTGCTCGGTAGGATGACGATGGTGATGTACCCCGTGCCACTGCACCTCCGTGATAAGGATTACTTCCACCTTGATTTCTACCTCGCGGCGGTGATGGTCGAGGCCGATGAAGTCTCAGCGGTGCGGTGGTGGCTCGGCAGTGAGCAGTCACGGCTGGAAGCAGTGGCGAGGCTTCCGGTGACAGACATGAGGTGCGTAGGCCGTGCGAGCTCGCTGATCGAGCGCAAAGGGCAGAGCCACTTCTAGCTGTCGTAGAGGCCGTCGGATAAGATGGTGGAGCCGAGGAGGGCACCGTTGATTCCAGGGATGGAAGCGGTGAAGAAGGCGGCCATGGAGGCTGGGGCTTTTGGATGCACCCTGAGTGGAGCAGGGCCTACAGCAGCGGCGGTGATTGATGATGAGGAGAGGGAGATGGAAGCATGGTGGGTGCTCTGTGTGTGTTTTGAACCATCATTGTTGCAGACATGGTGTTCGACGAAATTTCCCAGAGGGATTTTGGGTTTGCTTTGGCGAGGTGGTGAAGAAGAATGAAGGTATGTGTAGAGAATTTTACTTTGCTGGTTCCTAATGCACATGTACATTACAGCTCCTAATGCACATGTACAGCTATGAAAGTATAAGGTATATTATATGTTAACATGTGTTATGCAAGTTTAACACTGAGTTGACTTGTTTAATATTCGTATTACCAGATCGTATTATATTTATGTTTGTGTTAGAAAATGTTTAATCTCAACCCTAAAACTTTGGGTATGGTTTGAGTTGTATTGTCAAAACATGTCGAAAATTTCACCCTTATATTCTATCCGTGTTTTCTTTCTCATTCAAGGAAGACTATCTACTTGTTTTGCCTATGCATACAAACTGATTTTGCAAAAAAATTCTCCGAGATTTTGTTTTTATCAAAAGATTTAAGAGGGGAAAAAAAAGAAAGAAATTTCACTTTTGTCTTTCTTTTTGATTTCCTTCCACTTATTTCTACTCTAATTTTTTATTCAAATACGACCTGAATGTTTTGGTTTTGACTACTCACTTTGCATTTGTAGTTTTTGCGATTGGCGCCGCAAGAAGTGAAAATCTAAACAAGAGAAGGCTGACAACGATGTCAAAACTACTTGCAAGTCGAGTTCAAATTTACAAGCTTGAAGGGAAAGACATTCAAGGTTAGGTTTTAGTCTCTTTGCAATAAACTTTTGATCTAGTTGATTTTTGACTGGCAATATCTTAGTATATGTTTGTTTGATATATCTTGTGATTAGACAATCGAATTAAATTAATCAACTTGATAAATTTTTAATTAGGAATTTGGTTAAAAGTTTGACCTATTATTAATCTTATCCAAGTGCATACGTGTGTAATTTTGTGACATTTTTTATTTTTATATTTCCCGAAGATTCCTTAAATTGAGCCATCAAGATGTGCGGCAACAATAATGATTTATCTAGGTTGATGACATTTAAATTTCAATAGCCCTTAAGGTTGTGTTTGGATGAAAGATTTAATGAGAGAAATGGAAAAGAAAAAAGAAATGTAATCCTATTTTTTATTTAGTTATAATGAAAAATACAAGGGAAAAAGAAGTGAGAGAGAAATGCAATTCCATTTTTTATCTTTTAGCTTTGCTTCCTTTTTCCTTTTTTATTTCTCAACTCAACCAAACATAATTTGGAATTCGAATCTTATCAATTTTTTCTCATTTTTTCTATTTTCCTTTCCCTTTCCATTTCTTCATTAAATTCTCCAACTAAACACAGTCTAAAAGTCATTAATTAAAACTTACATATAGGCATCAACCAAAATCATATATAAAATATGTAATATATGTATATATACACACATCAAGAAGTATACTTCAAACTTATATTGGTTCTAGCAGGGGACAAATTGGATCTAGCAGGGGACAAATTGGTGTCTATCGGGGAAGTTTTTCTTTTGATTCCATTATGATATTGGAGTATATATATAAACAAATAAACATTTGTCTCCAACCATTTCTGCACTTTCCAAATTTAATTGATTCTCATCATAGAATCTACTAGGTATTTTCAAGTATATTCTAAGAAAAAATTATTGAAAAGTCCACCTTAATAATTGTCAAAGGCATTAGATCTAGTGAATATTTTTTATTAGTGAGAAATCCATTATTTGTGAAATAGTTTGGTGAGAAGTCTTTTTATTAGTTTGGAGGACATTTTGTTTTCAATTTTATTCCTTAATTTATATGTTGACTTTTCGTTGATTATCTGTTCAAATTTATATCTATCTGTTTAAATTATTTTCTATATGTTTAAATTTATATTTATCTGTTCAATTTTTTTTTTCTATCTGTTCAAATTTTTTTTATTTGTTGAATATTTATAATCTATTATTTTCTATTTGTTCAAATTCACACCATTTTTAAACTTTTCTCTCTCTATCTATTCTTCTCTCCAATTCTCTTTTCTCTTTATCTGTTTTTCTCTCCACTTCTCTTTTATTTCATTATCTGTAGAAAAAATCTCTATTGAAAATCTATCTGTTGAAAAAGGAAAAAAAATCTATTTGTTGCAATCATTATCAACAACCAAAAAAAAAAAGAAAAAGAAAAAGAAAAGCGATATGATGCATAATTTTTTTTTCTAGTAATTGGTCAAAATTAAGGAAAGAATATGCGTAATTGGACTTTTCAAATTCGAATGAAACTAGTAACTAAA